AGTGAGTCAATCATATGCAAATGCTTGTAGAACCAGTCTGCATGCTGGTACTGGTGTTCTACACCTGGGAGCATTGAAATGGTCCAGAATTTAGTGTTTAGGTGGTTGAGAGGAAGTGAGACTTGTAAATGTGAAATAAAACGAAGAAAACTGAGAATTCATAGAAGCATCCAGCAGTTTCTTTTTAAGTGTAGGGCTACATAATCTTATTTAAACCAAATTAATCATTCTAATCCTGAAAATGAATCCGCTTTAGATTTTTATTTTGAAAAACGTCATCTCTAAGATTGTACAATATTTTCCCTAAAAGAAAAACACTGTAAGGAAGGGCAAAACAATAGAAATACAACCACTGCTAAAGGTAAACTTTTAGTCACTTATCTGATTTTAATTTGATTGATTGACTGAGTGATTATCTTTATTGATCTCAGTGGAGAAATGTCCTCGTTACATCAGCTCTAATGGTAAAAAGAGAATAATGTGCCAAAGGAAGAAAACGGTGCATAGATATACACAATATATTCAGTGCATCCACATATAACGGTTTTTGGGTTTTTTTTTTTCTATAAAGTCTCTGTTTTCTTTTGATAAAGATTACCATAGTGTTAATAAACTGTATCCTTTTCTCTTTTCTGATGTTGGTGATATCTGCAAATAGCATTTTTCTATCATTAGTTTGCCATAAGATCACATCTAGGTTGATTTGCTGCAGCATGTTAGTAAATACCATAATGTCAAATAAATGTTGGCTGGAGCCTAAACCTGACCTAAAATTTGTCTCTCTCATTTATTACTTGTTTCAGATTAACAGGCTGTCTCAGTGATGATTGAAATCTTGGGTTTTTCCCAAAGTAGCTTAGAGTTAAAGTAAACATCATCCCTGGATACATCAATGAGCACATCTGTGCTAAAACCTATTTATCCTGGAGATTTCTAGGTAAAATTGGTTTATATTCTCAATCTCAAACTTGATTGAAAATATGAAAAAGGAGATTAATATTAAAACCTAAAAACCTAAAGCTACACATTTCCAGTCTTTTTACTGCATTTATACAACCAGTCCAGGACTCTTCATATGTAGAGAGTGATTTATTGCAGCAGAGGTGCAGCCGCTGTATGAAAGCGTAGCTCTGGTTGGATATTGGATCCTTGCTGAACAACTGACAATGTTACATCAAAGAAATTGAACTGGAACGAGGTGATGCCCGTGAGCCATTTTAGGGAGTAAGCTGAAGTCTGACTTGTCATCTCCCATATAGATTCCACAGAATGAACACGTAAGCGGTGCCAATTTGGATGATCTGTTCGAGCTTTATGAATCATTTTGAATAACAGGATACACTACTGCTGCTTACAGCCCCTAAACCAACCCAGCACTTATGTGGGCTCCAGAACCAAGCTGCTGATTTCTGGCAGGTTCAGAGGGTGGAAAAACTTATCATTTCTTAACATGTTAAGCGACTATGGCATAAAAGGATGAGGCCTTGAGGTCAAACTCAACCTCATTCTTTACCTTTCAATATAGATGTGGAGCAAAGTTGGACTTGGCAGGTGAGGGGAGTGTTGGCCTAGTGATTAGAGCAGTGTGGTTGTGCTCTGAAGGTTGTCAGTACACGGTTCGATCCCCACAAACTTGACTCTGGGTCCCTAAGCAAGACCTTTAACCCCACATTGCTCCACAGTCGCTGCACAGTGGAAGCCCACTGATGGGTTAAATGCAGAGTGAATTTCTCCACAGTGAGAGTAATAAAGTTCAATAATGGGGCGTGCTTTGGTGGCGCAGTGGTTAGCACACACAACCCATGTACTGAGGCCTTAGTGCTCGACTCGGCTGACCCGGGTTTGAATCCAGCATTTGGTCCTTTGCCGCATGTCTCTCCCCCTCTCTCATACCCCAGGCTACTGTCCAAAAAAAACGAGCCACTAGTGCCGGAACCCCAAGTCACCAATTTAGTGCTACTTGGTCCCAATGCAATTTCCCATTGGGAACCTGCTAGCACTAAGTCGCTAACTGGTTAGCAAGATGCTTCCGACAAACCGGCCACAACCAAACATGCTTGCGAACCTTCCTTCACAACAATCCCGCCCCCTTGATAATCAACCAATCACATTCACTTAATTCACTTTAATTCGGAAATGCAACGCCGCTTCCCTACGACAATAAATGAAACGGATCCACGCTTAGTTGTAACAACATTTGTGAAAGTATTTTACCATTTGTGAAACGTGTTAACGTCTTTAATGTAAACTAAATATATAAAAAATGCTGTAAGCTGGTTAGTTTTAATAAATTGCAATAAAATATTGTCACATAGATTTTGTTTTGTTTATGTTGCGCTGCATGCTGGGTAAATGACATATGCCAGGTCCTACGTCCCGCCAAAAAAGCAACTTTGTAACTTTTAAACTTTTTCAGTTTGAACTGAAGCGCATAGAAACTATTGGCAATGTAGAAATCACAAGGGGGGATGAAAATTAGGAGGACGGAATAGAGGAAGAGGGGAGAGTTAGCCGAAAAAGCTGCTCTTTGTGTGGCTGCTGATGGGAGATGCTAACCCTGATGGAGAGCTACGCTACAAAGAGCTCCAGTTTCTAACTGAGCCTGTTTACAGTTAGCATTGGGGTCAAAATATATTCTCAGATATATTAAAATCTAACGATTTCTTACAACAACAGAAAGGTCCTTTACTGTCACTTTAAACAGTTGTTTATTTTCTGCTATAGTAACTGTAGCTAATATAATGAAAAGTATATCACAAACCGATCATATTTGTTTGTTTCAACAGATATTTCATATATGGCGGCTCATAAAACGTTGAGTCAGATATAACATAGCCCTGGTAATGTAACTGCGTCATCTACCCAGAATGCATTGCGCAGGTGGCAATCTCCATAGATGAAAAATATAATATATAAGAAAATATAATTCAGATTTTTTTTTACATATAATGAACAGCAATATTGAGGTTAATAGGAAAACTACAACATATTTAGGCCAACATGTTTAACTAGTGATGAATCCCTTTAATACTCTCTAGTATTAACATGATTTCAATATTGCTCTGTAAATCTTAAAAATTTTCAATTGCAAATTTAAACTTATGGAGCTTTTAAACTAGATTAATAACTTGTCTAAACCTAGTTAAACTGAGTAGGTCTTAATTTTTTTTTAGGGCTATATTCTGGTGGGGCTATGCATGTTTTTACAGTGAGATCAGCATTAAGCCTCAGTGTTTATTTCCTGTATTTACAGGATAACTGATTCATGATAAGGTTTGGTTAACCTGTTTGAAAAAAAATAAAACTAAGACGAATTTTAACTTTTACAAAAGAGATTAAAAAAAAGTCAGATTTTTTTCCAAGAGTTTTTTTTTCATGTTTTCTTCTTTACAGATATAACACTGAAAAATATAATGCAACCGTTTTTTGCATTTACTTAATCATGTTTACTTTATCAATATTTTTTTTTACTTTATCATATTTATTTTACTTTATCACAATAGTTTCATGTTAGCAGGGTAAGACATAAAACTATTGTTTTAAAGTAACTTAATATGATTAAGTAAATGCCAAAAGCGGTTGCATTATTTTTTTCATTTAACAATGATACCCCCCCAATGTTGATAGTTTGTAATTTCTGCAGACTGCTGAGCTGGAGCACAGACATGGTAGGGGACACAAAGAAGAAAAATCAATGCTTTGGAGGTTTAGATTTGATCTCCACAAACACTAAAAAGCTTCTAATCCTCACAGACAACATCCTTCAGGTTGGTCCTCAGCCCAATCACTCTTCAGATAAACTGGTCCGAGCAGCATTTAATAGCTCTAATTTGTGATGCTATCAAGCCCCATTCTTTGCTAATGCTACAGCCAGCCCCGCCCTCCTGGCCATTGCTTGGCGGCATTTGTCCCTGCAGGGATTTCGAGCCTTGGACAACAACCTGCTGCCTGCCCTTGTGTCACTACTGAGTGGCTTAAGACTGCCACATCAATACAGACATTAGAGAGAGAACAGGATTAGTACAGGCTAGACTGGGTCTCAATGAACAGCGCAGTAAAAAGCATCTAAGGGAAGAAGGTGTTATACTGAAAGAGGTACTACCGCTTGATTCAGCATGAGTGCACCAGGGCCACTCTAACCTCTGAATGTCATTCAGAGGATAATCACACAATTACTGCTATACAACATATTAAACCGTTGTTAATCAGGGCATCAAAAAATGAAAATGTTTTTAATCAAGTGCCTTTTTTAATACTCATTTCAATTCTGTAAATTGTGTTTTTCCTGACTTGATTAAAGCAAATGCTCAACAGACAAGAGCTGTGCAATCTGCTGTGTTCACGCAGCTCTTTAAAAATGACAATAATGAGATTTTTTTTTATTATTATTATTTAAGAAAAATGTCTGCCACTCCCACGGCCTTCAGTTCTAAACACCTTCAGATTTGTTGCTTCAATCTCATCTTCTTGACATGAAGAGGAAACCAAGAGAGGAAAAAAAAGCAGCAGATTCTTCACGGCTCCTCAGAAGTAGGCCAAGGATAGTCCTCGGAGCGATTTGGGGGTGGGGAGGTTACTATACGTGCGAGTCATGTGATTGGCTGAGCGTAAGGTGCCTCGTATTTGATGGCTCTTTAGAGTCACAGAGAATTTAAGAACTGTACGAATAGATATGGAAGAAATCCTTCAAATATCCCCAGAAAACCCCAAATCTGATGCCTCACGACACAAACGATTTACATCAAAATGCAGGTGACTGAAATCTCAATTCCCTTCACATCCTTCTGATTACACACCGACTTATCTACTGAGCTTTAATGTGTTGGACCTTTATCTAACAAGATAAAAGAGGTAAAACAGAATTTAAAAGGAATCTAAGCTTCCTTTCTGTTTCCTCAGGAAGACTTCAGCAGAGCTGTGCTCCTGAGATGTAATCAGCTGTAAAACAAAACAAAACCCTCAGACATTTGTTTACAGGAGGGCGACTTTGTGAAGCTCACCAGCTGCGCAGTCCTCCTCGTCCGCTCCGTTATCGCAGTCTTTCTCCCCATCACATCTCCATGACAACGAGACACACTTGTTGGTGGATCCCCCGCAGTCAAATTTCTCCGGAGGGCACGTCTGTTTGCCTGTGGATGGAGATCAAAGAGACGGGGGAAGATTTCCGCGGTGAATTTATGGTTTTATAAAATAAATCATGAAACTCAGCACCTGTGCAGCAGTAAAAACTCATCTGGAACTACAACAATCCGGCCCGTTTGTTTCACCGTCTGGGCCGCCTCCACAGCAGGGATGCATGCAGACGGATCCTAAGAAACAGCTAACAAACATTTGGCTGAAAACGCAAAAAAATTAAAAACCCACCCCCCCACATTCTTCTCCCTCTTTTCCTGCCAATCTGTTCGATTTGGCACAGCCCATTTGCTCCTGATTACAGCGAGTTTAAATGTGCCAGGGTGGTAAATTATAAACCTCTGCTTACAGGGCAGCCCTAAGCTAAAAATCAAAGGCACAACCTACAAAGGAACATTTTTTAACTTTATATCATTTATGAATAAAAATTAAAGATATTAACTGCTCAGAAGGTTGGAAAAAAATCAGAAACATTTGCAGACAGTGACAGATAAGTCAATCAGAGAGTTGGGCGTGCAGGTGGCGCAGTAGCCTCGTGAGACCATCCTGATTTCGCGAGCTTTCAAGGTTTCATTCGCAGATCAGTCTGGAGACTCTCCGTTAAAGAAAATTTGGAGCCGTTCACCAAACAAACGTCAAATCAGCGTTGGCTTTGAGGCGGGTTGAGGTGTGAAGTAACGAAAAGCGCGACAGTTCAGTCTAAAGAACATGGCGGCTTCAGCCGATGAAACTAGCGTTAGCGTGGCTATCGAGCAAGTTTTATCAGAATTACAGAGTATTTCTTCACTGAAAGAAGAGCAAAACACTGCTCTGGAGGCTTTTCTCAGAGGAAAAGATGTTTTTGCTCTTCTCCCGACTGGTTTCGGCAAGAGTAGTCTTGCTTGTGGTTGCGATTTCGTGGTTGCTCTG